GGTGCATAACCTGCAGTTACATACAGAAACAAAAGGACACATATGTTCCTAGGATACTGGATGAGAACTTCATTGTCTTAAATTATAAAGTTTTAAGAATACAGATGGCTCCTTTGCTTCATTCTGTTGAATTTCCCTAGCATGCAGAGGGGAGCTTATATTCAAGGGTTTGCTGAAACCAAACTGATAAATCATTCCCTTCAATAGGAACCTGGGCTGTTTTGGCTTGGAAAACATACTGGGAAGCCTCCTGCACATGGCGATTCATGTGAACAAGGCACAATCTATTGAAAACAACCCCTGCTCCAGAGATCAGGTGGATGAGAGAGTAGATGGAACTCTTTGCCAAAAGGTATAATTAGATTTCGAACAGGGCACAACATTTGTCTACACTCAAATATGAATGGCCTTCTCTAAGTATTATAGAGGTAGCAGGTGTTTCCTTTCAAGTGAAAATGACCTCAAAATGGCCAGATTTTCTTTAGAGCAAATGTCTGTGTTTCAGTGAAGTTTTCTGATTCAAAAATTAAAATGATCTTCATTATCAAAGGGACATTGATTAGATGCCTTTCTGTGAATGGTAGGCAGGCTTTGTTCTCTGAGAGTTTTCAGTATAAAATGGGTGATCCTGACAGACAGATATGGATGAGGACAAGCTGACACACAAACTGTGTAAACACAGGAAAATCAAATTAAGGCTCACAGAAGAGCCCAATGGTCAAGGCAGAACATCTAGCTCAACAATTCCTTTTACAATAGCATATGCAGTAGTAAGATATTATAATACTACTACACAGATCAACAGAGCAGAGAGAGATCTAAGGTATCTGACCTTGTCACTCATAAGGAAGAGACCTTAGAGAGCTGACCTTGCCACACCTCTACCCACAAATATTCGATGGCTCCCTATTTCCCCCAGGCTAAAATACAAAATCATGAGCTTAGCACTTAGGGGACCTTTGCTCTCGGGTTTCTATCTACCTTTGTAATCTTATTTCATAGCCTTCCCTCTCTATCATCTCTGTTCCAGTCCTGGAACATACTAAGGGCTTAATAAATATTGATTGATTGACTGATTGATTGATTCCGATCCAACTATCCAGTTAGATCTTTGCCATGTTTAATCTTCTTCCTCCTTGCTTTTGCCTTGGATGTTTTCCCTTGCCTGAAATGCACTCCCTCCTCAGCACCACACTGCAGAATCCTTAGCATCCTTCAAAGTCAGGCAATCAGTCAGTCAGTCAGTCAGTCAATAAACATTTATTAAGGGCCAACTCTGTGCCAGGCACCCTGCTGAGTACTGAGGATACAAAGAAAGGCTAAAGATAGTCTGTGCCCTCAAGGAGCTTAATCACCATGCAGATACCATTCTCTCCTACCTGAAATTACATTGGACTTTTTAAATATAATTCCTCCCTCAACATAAAGAACGTAAGCTCCTTGAGGCCAGTTACTATATAGTTTTTATCTTTATATCACCAACACTTAGTACAGTGATTTATACATCAAAGATGCTTAGTAATTTTTAATTGAATTGACTAAATCATATAGTTCAATCTTCTCATATTATAGGTTAAAACACTGGGGCAAAGAAGCAGGGAAATAATTTGCCCAGGGTGATACAGTGAGTTATGTGTTCTCACTGTATGGGTGAGCATATAGGGGAGACAGGACCACAGTCTAGACTATCTGATCCCCCCACCCCATTCATAATTCTTGTATATTAGAGACAGGTAGAAGCAACACAGCAGATAGAAGTCTGGCTCTGGGAGTCAGAAAGACATAGATCAAAAACAACACACGATGGCTAGTTGACCCTTTTTAAATCTATAAGTTGCAGAAAAGGTACAGATATGAAATGGTAGAAGAAATTTCTCAGTGGGAGATCTGGATACCAATGAAGTCATAAGTGTAGTCAAAAAGGGGAGAAGCAAAACATGAGAAAGACGGAGAGGGAGAGAGGGTGTTTCATTGTCAATAGGGACAGTATTTAATCTAGAGAATAGCTAAGTCTCTAGTACATAGAGGCACTTCAAGAGAGGCAGTGTTGCATAATGGAAAACACATGAAACTAAGCATCAAGGGACCTGAGTTCTAGTCTCAAGCCTGACACTATGTGACCAAGGAAAAAGCATTTGCTGTTTGTGTTTCAGATTCTTCAGCTGCAAAAAGAGAAGGGTGGACTATACGACCTCTAAGGTTCCTTCAAGTTGTCTGATTCTTTGAGGGACTCTCATATGTTCTATCTGTATTTGTTGTAAGTGTGTGGGTGAGGGGAGGGGTATGTTGTGGTGGTCTCTTATTTAGTTCTATTAGAAAAACATACCCTGAGAACTTATGGAGTGCAAAACAGAAATCACAATTCCTGCCCTCAAAGTAGTTTCCATTTCTAGTAAAAACAGGATGCAGACTAGTGACCAGCTAAATTACAAGGGAAGAGAGTTCTTTTTTTCTTTCTGAAATTCTTTTTCTTATACTATTTATCAGCACTGAGGAGCACTCTTCTTGGTCTAGATCAGCACTTCTTAAATTATGGGTCACAAACCCATATGGGTCGTGAAAAATTTGGCAACAGTAAAAGATTTCTGAATGCACAATGACCAAAAATTAATTAAAAATCAAAAGCATAATGAATCCGAGGTGTTTCTGGCAGAGCTTGCCCATGTTGCGTCATGCATCTTCACTGCAGCCTTGGTTCTGAACACAAAGTATGTGCATTTTGCACTGTGCATGCCTTCAGGCCATGCAATGCCAACTAATGCTGTGGAAACAGAAAAAAGGGTCACAGTGGAAAAAGTTCAAGAAGCCATGGTCTAGCTGGACTGTCCGTAGGAGTGATATCTGATTCCAGGTCCTTGTGAAGTCCGAAAGATTGTAGGTCACTGAGCCAGCCACAGAGGAAAAGAGGAAGATCCCTGCACACCAGCTTGCAGATTGTACCTACTCTGATATCTGTCACTTTAAAAGTCCCTTGCAGAGTTGATATCCATGAGTACCCTACCTCTTCACAAAGGAATCTGAGGGTAAGCTGTTTCATTTAATCAATCTTGGCTTTACACCAGTGGTCTCTCTGGCTGTTGTACCTAATGGTATTGTCGGTTTTTGCAGAGGCTGATATGAAATATGGTCTTACTGTGAGTCTTGAAATTGTTGAATATTGATTAAATCCCCAAAGTGCTCAAAGTTTGGGACATGGTATAGAGAAAAAAAAGCTGTAATCTAAAAGTTTGGAGAAAAGTGTGTACGTGTGTTACTTTTCCATTGGTTATTGGGTCAGGAAATTTTCATTCAATCTTTGCTAACCATCCCAGCTGAAAGTAGCCTCTTCTCTGTCCTCTTCATGTGGCACTTCCCTTTTGCTAGTTTATCTTGTAATTTAGCTGGTCACTAGTCTATTCCTACTAGGAATGGAAACTGCTTGAGGGCAGCAACTGTGACTTCCGTTTTGCTTTACATAAACCATGACAAACACAGCTGGGCCCACAAACATGGCAACACTCCCTAATGCAGCTGAAACAGAATAATTGGGAAGTATTTACCAAAATAAATAAAAAGATAATAGAAAAAGATAATGTTCATTTGTAGTTTTCTGAGTCAATATTAGTGGTTCTTGCTTTCTATCTGAGGTTGATATCAGTGTACTACATGACTCCTCGAATTAAGCAGATGCTCAAAATAAATCCTGGAATCACAGAATTTCAGAACCTGATGTTGATGTTTATAAAGGATCCAGGGCCAGATAACCTAAATTAGAGGTTTCTAACCTATGGCCCATGGCCTTGTTTTTTTTGTTTTTTGGTTTTTTTTTTTTTGATAAATGTATTTCAATATATTTTCCTTTGCAATGCAACATATTTTATTTTAGGCATTTAAGAACATTATTCTGAGAAGGGATCCACAGGTAGGATCATTGTGATGGTTTATGCAAATTGAAGTTGGTGATAATTTGGAGCTATAGTTTAGGTCTTTGAATGACTCAGAAGTTTAAACTTCATTTTTTGAACTAACCCTCTATCAGCTCATGCATATGGGTATATCTTCAACTATCAGAGCTCCCAAGTCTACATTCCTAGCCCTTATCTCTTTCCCACAGTTCAAATTCTTAATAGATATGTTTATAAGGATGTCCTGTTATAATGCCAAGGAATATCCTATCCAAAGAATTCATCACGTTTCCTTCAAGACATAAACATATGAATAAGATCACATCTTCTAGTGTTATGGGAATAACAATAACAACCACTCACATTTTTATTGCGCTTTCAAATGCTTTGCACACATCTTATTTAAGCTTCATAATAAACCAGCAATTTAAGAACTGAAATTATTATTATTCCCATTTTAAAGAGGAAACTGAGTGCCCCACCCATGCTCACACAACTAATAAATGGGAAAGGTAGGATTTGAATTGAACATTCTCCTGACTGCAGGTCTAGGGTTCTTTCCACTAGACTTTCATGCCGTAGTTGCTATATGGTCATATCCTTTGGAAAGACTGAAGCTCCCATCCTATAATTTACTATGTCCTAATGCAAGTAATGGAAGATGGGTCACACATTGATCTTCTAGCAGGGATGGGGAACCTGCAGCCGCAAGGCCACATGTGGCCCTCCAGATCCTCAAGTTTGACTGAATCCAAACTCCACAGAATAAATCCCTTCATGAAAAGGATTTGTTCTGTAAAATTTTGACTCAGTCAAAGGGCTGCATCCAAGGACCACAGGTTCCCTGCCCCTGCGGAACAGTATAGAAAAATGATCTGAGAACTTCTTCAACAGAATATTCTAAGACTATAACAACAACAACAAAAAATGGATATCCAGCTGAGATGCACCTCTGTCCTAGGACAGTGTCCTACTCCATAGGAAAGTGCTGCCATAAAAACTAATAAGGTACTCAGGACTCAACGACTGCGTGGGGCCTAGCAACAATGAATATGGGCCAGGACTCAACAGTGAACCCCTTGGTTCTAGGGCAGGAAGCGAACGAAGATACTTTACCATCCAGTGTACTCAGAGAGTCCTTGGCATCTGCAGGCACAGAGAGTAATTTTTGAACTGACATTCCAGGGCCGGGTCTCAGCTCTCTCAATCCAGTTTGCAGGAGGAAAAGTGGCTTTGCCTTCACATCCATTTTCTCCTCTTTGGCGAAGGCTTCATTGTGTGGTGAGAGAAATCGATTACCAAAATGAGGGCCATCTCTAGTCCTTCCACTGGAGCCTTGGTCAGGGTTCTCTCCCACATTCTGGGCCATGTAGGCCTTGACAGCAGCAACCACATTCTGTTTGTCGAAATCTGGGTCCAGGTTGTAGGAGAACACATGTGGCTGGATTTGTCTGAAGGCCCTCAGGGAGGGATTATCAGGATAATTTGGATGAGATATGGGAACATAGGCCAGCTCAGGACTACTTCCTCTGGTCTTCTGAGCAATGTAGTTTAGTAGACGTTGAGGGAAGATATTGCTCTGCAGAAGACAGGGGAAAAACAACAACAACAAAGACAAATTATTACAATGTCAGTAAGAATCTATGCTTAACATTTTAGCTCTTCTCTCTTTTGAGGACTATGTCTGGCACCGAAGCTTGCATTAGCATCTTCACCCACATACACGAAACAAAACAAAAAAATGACTGCTCGGCCTGATTCTCATCCTACTGATCTCATTCCCCATTTCATGGCAGTTATTTACAATTTGTTATTGTGATCTAAAATCAGTTCTCCCCCTAAATGGTTGCCTGTCAACTCCAGGCACATTTGGGGCAAGGCCTCATAGGTTTTTGTCTCAGAGTCCCCACTGGATTCCAGCATCTTTTGTCTGCCAATGAATTATTTCAAAAGTATCATTCTTTTTAAAAACATTATTCTGCATCAGAGTAATTGCAAGGACCTCTCATTTCATGGCAAAAAGCTCCCCAATAAATAAGCTATCTTCTGGCCAAAATTGGTTTTTAAAGCTTGTACCCAACTTTCGATTTTCCCTCACTCTGACTTGATTAGTAATTCTCTTCAGATGGATTGGCTCAGAGTGGCTCATACACTCTGAATCTGCTCTAAGAAAAGCAGCCCTCTGAAGACATTCCTACTTTTGGGGTGGGCTGACTTGATCAGAACATAAGAATATTACATTGGAGTAGACCCATGTTCTATTCAGCTCAGAGTTCTGCCCATGATAGTAACCCCAAGAAGTCAACCATGAGAACTTCACTGAAACACTCTGGACTGATCCCTAAACATCCTTAACATCCCCTTAATAGTGTGATATGAATGGATTGACAGACAACTTGCATTTCTGGAGTGCTTTAAAATTGACAAAGCACTTTATATATGGTGTCTCATTTGATCGTCACAACAATGTTATCATTGTAGAGTGGGTTGTTCGTAGTAGGTAGGCGCTATCATTATTTCCTTTTTACAGATGAGGAAACTGAGGCTGAGAGAGGCAAGTAACTTACCCAGCTACCAATTGTCTAAACCAGGATTCAAAATTAGGTCTTCCTGACTCCAAGTCCAGCATTCTAATCACATTGTACTCCCTAAGTGCTTCATGATCAACCATGAATTTATGAAATAAAAACAAGAAAAAAAACCACCTCAAAATCTGTTTATATATTCCATCTCTAATCACATGTCAGGGAGTGGAGAGACAGCTGGATTTAGCGTCACAAGTAGCTGTGTCACTATGGACAACTTGTTTAGTCTTTCTGAGCCTCCATTTCCTTATCCATAAAGAGGGGATGGCAAAATGATTAGGCTGCAGGGAAACTGGGTGTTCAGATGCTAGTCCTGACACATAGTCACTATTCTGCCAATGGCAAATCACTCAGTCTTTCAAAGCTGGCTGGACTGAGTAGTCACCGATATGCACCAGTGGAAGGCATCTCCATGCACCCTAGGAAATCATAGGTCTGGAATTGCCCTTTCTCCTCAAAAAATACATGCTACCATCTTCATGGGCATGTAAGGAAAGAGCTTTGTAACCCTTAAAGCTATAGATACGTTATTACTATTACTACTGGGTTGTGTATATGTGTGAAAATATTTTGGGAGAGGGTGATAATTACTCAAGGAAGCCTTATTTCTCCTTAGTTTAACTCCAAGACTTCAAATTTACACAGGATTTAGATTTAGCTCAGTGTTGGATTTTACTAAAAATCATATGTAAAAAATGGATGTTACTAAAGTAACAGTGTGATTCAAACAGAGATTGGATGCTGCCAAAGAGTTTTTGTGAAAGTTATGCCTGGATGATCTCTGAAACAACTAGAAAATTCGACGATTCTCTGTATTATGGTGAAAAGAAGACTGAACTGGGTATCAGGAGACCTGGGTTCTATTCCTTGTACTGGTACTAATTATCTGTGTGACTTTGGGCAATCTATTTAACCTCTCTGAGCTGCAGTCTTTTCATTTGTCAAAGGAAGGGACTGAATGATTGCTAATATGCCTTCAAATTCTCAGACTATGTTTTTGGCTGCTCTTCAACATATTTAAATACTTTTGAAAACTGGCTCATTCAACTGTTTTTGCTGTAAAATAAATAAATAAATGAATCAAAGGAAGGCAAGATTCATTAGAAAGAGAGAAAAATCTAAAACACTACAACAACAAAATAAACCCTCAAGCAATTTCCAACAAATTGGATATAAGTGTCAATCTTGAGCTCAGACCCGAACTTACATTGAGAAGGGACAGTGTCTGAGCACCTAGTCAGGTCACTGCCCTGGCAGCTCGGGATCCAAAGCAATAAGGTCTCATTAAAGTGCCTATGTTATTCCTTTCTTCCCTGAGAATATGTTCAAGCCTGGCAGGCCCATTCAAAAGGCCTTTAATTATAGTCAGAGTTGGAGAGTTTATACTGAGTGGGCAAAACCAGGCTTAAAACATGTCATTTAAAAGAGCAAGGTGAAATGAAATCCATACAGTAATAGACTGGGCTAAATAATTCATATGGAGTTTGCTTTTAGGAGCCAATTGAAGTGAAAAAAGAAAGAATTTTTGAAGGAGTAGAATGCTCCATTGGTGCCACTCATATGGTCTTCACCAACCAATCAATCAATCAATCAATGTTCATTAATTTCACATCTCTGAGGTTCAGTATTTTCATCTGCAAAATGAGGAGTTTGGTCCAGATAACCTCAAAGGTCTTTTTGATTTTTAAGGGATAACTCTTCCCCTAGTAGAACATCATAGATTCTGAACTTGCTTCCCAAAGTTACACTCACACAATAACTCCAAATACAGCTTATACCAATTACTTCAAAGGCTTCGAGGCATGATTTGTTGGAGTACCATTCTGATTCCTATCTTGGTGACCATACAATCTCACGCCCCTCCCCCCTCCCATTTCAAATGGAACATCACTCAACTTTCCTTTCCCACTCTCTATTTTCCTTTCCATTATTTTCAGCGAACAAAATTGCTCAATAAAAAAAAAAGTGTAAGTATCTGCTGTGTCAGACACTGTGCTAAACACTGGGAATGCAAACAAAGGTAATGCAATCTCTATTCTCATGAACCACCACTCCCTTTTCTCCTATTGTTTTTTCTTTCAAGGAATAAAAGATTCATAGTCAGAGGTAAAGAAGAGTCATTCTTGCTTCTTTTTCCTGTGTTTCCTTTATCCTCATTTTTCAGATAATATAGCCTGCCTTTGAGTTCAATGATGTTTGAGATGCCACGACTTTGGAATACCAATACCTATATTTTGCTAACAATTTCTTAAAGATGATGCCAAGGTTTGGGGTTTTTTTTAATGTACTTGCATCACGCCCAAATATAAGGAATTTTCAAAAATGTTTTATTACCAATTTCTAACTTTTGGTTGGAATCTATTTTTATGCTATGGACCCTTCAAGCTACACCTTCGAGACATTTGGCTCGGGCATCCTGCATAAAGTTTATCTTCAAATTGCATAAAGCTTTTGAATACATCTATCATAATATGCTACACTAGAGGAGTCTCCCTCTAGAAACTGCCTCCAAATCTACCCAGTGTCGTCATTAAAGCAGCATCTACTTACAGAATTAGCTGATGTACATTCAGAAGAATACACATGAAATCCAGTTAGCTTTCCACAGTAGTCACATATAAGAAAGCAGATGTAGGGTCACTATCAGTTTTCTGCCTTACTTGGATTTTCAGGGCAAGGTTGGGGCAATAAGAGACTAAAATAAGATTAGCTTTTCTTTTGAAAATATCCTATCTCTTAGCAATCTGTCTCATTCCACAATTGGGAAATTAACTACTAATTCCCTCTGAGAGAAATGCTCAAGAAGCCAGTTCGCAGTAAGTACTCTAATTGGTCTTACTTACAAATGAATACAAGCCACTGGTATTAGCACCTTCCTCATTTCACTACCCCATAGCTTGTACAGAGGTGTCAAAAGAAACTAGCAACCAAAATTTGGATTCTCTCCCTGATCAGCTTGGAGCATGATCAAACATTCTGGTCTGTCAAACTGAAAGTCCTCAGGCAGTTTGCAAGCACACTTAATTCAGGAGATGCCTATTGCTGGCATGACAAAGCATGCCCCTACTGGACTGTCCCCACACTTCCTAATGAGACAATATCGACAATACCATCAAATTGGTGTAAGACTTGAGAGCACAGAGGGGAGTCTCAGGAAGCCCAAATCTCGCTCCACAGACAATGTGACTTCAATGTCATATTTCAGATCTCAGTCCTTAAAAAACAAAATGCTTTTACTCTGCCATATACAGGTTTTTGTTTCTCTCTCTCTCTCTCTCTCTCTCTCTCTCTCTCTCTCTCTCTCTCTCTCTCTCTCTCTCTCTCTCTCTCCCTCTCTCTCTCTCTCTCTCTCTCTCTCTCTCTCTCTCTCTCTCTCTCTCTCTCTTCTCTTCTCTTCTCTTCTCTTCCTCCTTCTCCTCCTCCTCCTCCCTCCCTCCCTCTTTCACTCCCTCTATCCCTCCCTCCCTCTCTTTCCCCTTCTCTCAGTGTGTAATACCCTTCACAATGAAAGTGCCATATGTGAGCTGTGAAGGAGAGAAAGGAGGGCGGGGAGGGCTTGCTTTTAACTGGGTCTAGCATTGTTTTGACAAGAATTTTATCTCATGCAGAGGGACACATATTTGGTATACTGGTTTATACCCTGATAGCATCACAGAAGAAATATAGAGCTTTCATGTTAAGACTAAATTCCAGAAAAAAAGATTTTATGGTGTTAATAGAATCCAAAGAGTTGAAAAAGTATGAAGTTCTATAAGATGGAGCATTTTCAGGGTCCTAAGATGAGAATATAAGGTATATGTATGTATACATATGAATGCTATATAATTATATATATCACACATATATAATTGAGGTATATGTATACATATATACATATATATACTACATATATATATATATATGTATATATATATATATACACACAATATATTAAATAAGTATTTAAATGCTGCTTGAATGACTGTTTGATTTTGGTTTGAGCCTTCTGTATAGT